GTAAACACAACACAATGAAGCACTAAACAGATGCTGAAAACAGTACTGGTATTTCGCACGGCAAAAGTGAGGGGGGGGGGGGCGCGCAAAACTCAATCTCGCCTAGGGCAACCAAAGGGCTAGAACCGGCCCTGTGCTCAATGACCAGATAACTGCAATGCAAGTTACTGACAAATAATTCCTCTGCATCGTAACTTTTTCATTACTGTACAAACAAGTGCAATAAAGAAATAAAATAAAAAATGGTGTTAATTATATGTAAAAACTGAGATGATTTGATCTGAAGTAGTAATTGTTCTTGCTTTATCTTAAGAGTTCTACTAGAAGGGGAACCTCTGCCTCAGTCTACAGTATTTAGAAGCCTCTAGCTAGTTTTCTTCTTCCATTCTTCTATTTAGTCAGGCGATCTCTCCACCAACTGAATGTCCTTACTTAAGAAAGGCAACCCCACAGCATGATTCTGCCATCCATATGTTTCACAGGGGATTATAGATCAAGACGATGGGCATTGTGCATCTTTCTCCACAAAATGTATTCGGCATCTAGCCCTAAAAAATGTCAGAAATATCTCTTCTAGTCAGAAAATCTTCTTTAACAGTAAAGAAAGTGTCCTCTCTCTAGCTTGTGAGATAAATCAAATATAAGGGCTTTTCTTTATCAGTTGTTTTCATCCTGAATAGAAGCCCAGTTTGTGGAGTGTATGGCTAATACCTGTCAACATAATGTTTGCCCTGCAGTCAGATGTGTGTGAAAATGTAAATTTTTTATTAAAAATAGCATGATATTTTTATGTTTGTGTTGAAAACGTAATTGAAATTAAACAGATTTTTTTTTGAAAATAAATAAATTAATACAAGTGAATTATTGTGATTCTGAATGGATAACATAGTTGTGTAACTCACTCAGATATTTCATCCAGATAATTTCTTCTCATGCGTTGCTAATACTGTCCAGAAGATGGCAGCATTGTTCTCTTTTAGGCTTCTGGTTGGTGAGACAATGGCCCTGCATGTTCTTTTCAGGTACTGATTCAAAGCATATTTTGGCTTTTGGTCATATTAAATATTTGTCTATTTTAATAACAAGAACGTTTTATGCTTTAAATATTATTGATATGTAACTTAATGTCAAAAAAGGCTGAAAATATCCTGTTTAAGGAGATATATATTTTTTTTTTTTTACAAATACCTTAGCTTTCCGATAAAGATACTATAAAAATAACAGTTGCATTAAGCCACTTAGCATAGAGGCCAATATTCCTTCAAAGGGGATGCTTGTCTAAATTGGCATTGTGCCCATGTGCTGAACATGCCCATCAAACGAGTTCCACTCCAGCAGTCTGGCACATGCATGCTCATCACGTTCTGTAGCAGCCACACAACAAAGCTCACTGGAAAGACAATTCCTTTCCCTGTCTGTCCTTCCACAGATGTTGGCTTTAATTCCTTCCTGATTGGGAGACTTTGGTAGCTGCTCCATCAATCAGTGAAGAAAAAGCAAACCAAAGCAAAGTGAAACATCTCTTTTGATCAGTACCTTAAGATGAGAGAACATTGGGTTGTGCTTTTGGTTTTTTAATGTTTTTTGTTTGTTTTTTTATTCAGAGGGAAAAGTCAATCTCTTTAAAATGCACTTACATTCACTGAGAAGGTGCCATTTTTGGTATCTTCTGATTCCAGGAAATTATTATTCACCTCATGAGTTTCTGTTCATATTCTGTGGAAGCCTCAGTGTGTTAATCAGTGTTAGATGTGTTGGTTAACCAATCCCCCTGTCGTGAAAAATAATTAACACAGAGCAGTGGGAATTGATAATATTCAAACTGGATTGAAACAGTCGCAGATTGGAGCTTTGCTGCTGTTGAATGATTAGTGGATGCAGGCACAGGTGTTAGTCAGCTGAATTTGTGGCTGTGCTGCAAACTGTGGGACACAAACAACAAGTATTAAAGAGGGGGATTAATCTCAGAGTAATTGCTTCATGTAAAGTACCTCTGAACAAGGCTTTAAGAGCAATTATGAGCAATCATATTAGTAGTTACAACTGCAAGGAGGTAATAACATCCTCGGTGTGCATCTGCAATTACCACATGGCTCAGACATGCAGGAAACAATAATGTATTGATGAATGATGTCACTTTTAACTGAACAGTCAGACACATTTTCATCTCAATGCTGGATTATTTTTTTTTTTCAATACAATCTGGGCCTGTTCTGTTGATTGAGGAGTTTGCATGTTCTGTAGCATCATCAGCTTGTTCTCTTCAAATCCTGGCATTGATATTCAGAGAGCGCAATGTGATGACAAAACCCTTTAAATGTCTTTTTATCACCCAATTCCAGACTTATCTCCTGTCTTTGCATCACCAGGCTTTGGGGGGATCACATCACAAGCCCCTGCAGGCGTATTTTATACATCAATTTTCTTTTTGCAGGGAAGAGAGCAGATTTAAAGTTAACAGATGAGGATAGATGTTGACCATCAACACTGTGACAGAGACTAAAATGTGCTTTTTCTTTTTCCAATTTATATGCCATCTTAAAAAATATTGAAATAAAAAAAAAAGTGTCCATTTAAGTTGCATCTAATTTTTGTATTTTGTTTTCAGGAAGACTTTTCTGTGTGTGTTTTTAATTTAACGATTTTCTTTTACGCAAAAGATGAAGATATATCAAATACGAGAAGAAAACACATGAAAATGCAGCATATTGATAACAGCCTATAGCAATAAAACCACAAAATATTAAGAAAATGAAGCAAAAGCTGAAAAAAACAGTAAAAAAGTTTGCAAAAAGATCAAGCTAAACCTCAACTTAAGTTAAATACCTATAAATGCACATATTAATTCGAAACATATGATACAACTTCATTCCAAAACTTCAAAAGATGTTTCAGAAACTGAAAAACAGAAAACCCTTCTCATTATTCTGAATCCATTCAAGAGATCTGTAAAAGAAACACCAAAAACAATCTTAAGCAATAACAGTAAAGAGACAGAAGGGAAAAAAGTACATAAATTGTACAACTGTGTAATGAAAAGACAAAACTTTAAAACACAAAACAGAAAACAAAAAAAACTGCACAGCAACGTTTTTGGAGAACTATAAATCGGAGAAAGTAGGAAAAGATTAACTGGAACGATGTTAGAGGTAAGAGATCAAATGGGCAAAGCAAAACATAAGGAAAAAAAGTTACCAATAAACCATGCTTCTAGTTACAGTAAGAACACGAAAAAAAAAAGAAAAAAAGAAACAGAAATCAATAAAAGGGACAGGAACCAATCCTTCAAGCTACTGTTCAGCTTAACTCAATAGAAAATAGATATTTTGATCAAATAAACCTGCAAATGCACCTTAATGCAGCATTACTAAATATTATCAAGCAAGACATTTAAACTAAAACAAGCTTTGTTATTTTTTTTTTAAAGTCAGAATCTCTGCCAATAAATATAATGACAACGGCTGAGAGAAATGTTTGGTAGAAGAGGAATAAAACAAGGGAAGCAACACAGAAAAGACAAAAAACAAAATAAATGAGGCACATTTTCAAAGAAGCAATAAATGAAAATATGCCATCAAAGAAAAAAAGACAACAGCTTTTAACACAAATTTACTTACAAAAAAAAAAAAAAACTAAAAAAAATGATTGATTACTACAAGAAAATAGAAGAAAATTAACAAAATAAAAGTAAGGCTACATTTATGAGACAACAAAAGACATTCTGTTCTGGTTTTGGTGTTAAATGTCTTATTTTTCTACAATATTTCTGACATAAACCTTGAGAAAAAGAGCTTATAAAAAAATCTTATTGAAAAGTTTTATTGTTGGTGTTCTGAAATACTTTTAATGCTGTTGATTGTTGAAAAACCTTCAGATGTTTTGTTCCACCTTTATTTTTCTTTCTGTCATCTCAGTTGTTGGTTTTTCTTGTTGCAGTTTGTCCAAAGTCTGTGAAGAATTTTCCTGAAAAACTGCCAGCTGCTCAGCAAGGACACACAAATAAACACCTTCTACTTTTCCTACTGCTTGTTTTCACAGATCTATGTAACAAGTTGCATTCATGATGACAGATATATCACGAAAAACATATTTAATTCCAGTGTACTACTGAGTTTGAAATCCAGCAGCTCTGTGTTTAAAAGTGATGCATTAACTTTCAGGTTTGTGCAGCTTGCAGAAAAATGATTCCCAGATTCCCTCTGTCACTTCTTCTGCAGCTTGTCCCCTTACCTTCAGCATCAATAGATGTCCAACATCATGGATTATTGCGATATTTGTAGGCAAACAGATGAAACCACAAACCGTTTCGCTCAGCTCCTGTCTCCCCAACCCCATCATCTGTGGCAAAAGATCCGCTTGCATCCTTGTGTCACTCCATCTCACCATCACCTTGGCAACCGCTGCCGAGGTGAGCCGCCATCTGGGATAGCCGACCTCATCTGCTGGCTGATTTCCACAGAGCTGCAGTCCACAGCACTGCCACACCGGCTGTTCTGATGTGCAGTTTATCACCTCCCAAAACTGGCTCATTAACTGATCTGTGATCAGTTCAGCCAGTCCTGGTGGGGGTCAATTAGACTCTAACAGAAACACGAGGCAGATTCTTTAGATTTGTGCACAAACTTAATTGTTTTGACAAATTTAGGTTGCTGATTTTGCTCTGGAGAAGTAATCCTATCTTGGTTCTCTTCCATTAACAGACTTTTGGTCCCACAAAGAGCCTTTTTCTCTAAATAACTAATAAAATCTGAGAACATTAAACATAAAAAGGTAAGAATAAATAACAATTTGTTGATTTTCTTGTGCCTACGTAAAAAAACTTGGCAATATGAATAATTATCACCCAAATTGTATATCCAGAGCTTATTTCAGTAAGCCAGATTTTTTTGGGCCTGAAAAATCCATGTACTAAAAAGATGAAGTCCTAATATCTTGACATCTAAGCCACGGCAGTCCTTATGAAGTGTGAAAAAGTGTACAAAAAGTTAATATTAACACGGTTTTAATTTATTAAATAATTGATCTTTAATGAAAACGGGGAAAATAAATAGACTGACTCTCCACACAGGGGAACACAGCAGACCTCACATACAGTCCCGGGAATGTCTGCGAAAAGAGAACTAGTATTAAACTACACTTTGTAATTTAGTCACAGCTTAATTTCACTTAAATACAACACAAAATAAGAATGGGAGACGTTTAAATCATTATTGCTGGTTTACAAGAACAACTATTTGATGAATAAGTGTTATTATATATGTTTTTGGCAAATGTGTTTTCAGGTATAATGGTGCATATTAAATTAGGCAGGAACACAAAGATTTTTTACAATTTAGAAACAAAATATTTTTCTGTAACCTTGTCCTTGCTTTTCTGCAGAAGTTTTTTTTTTTTTTTCTTGTCCCAGAGATGTTATTACAGATAAATATCTAACAAACACAAAGGTGGACTTTTTCCTTTTTGACATAAACAAATACAAAAACACAAAGTTTGTGAATGGGTTTAAGTTATAAAAAATCTCCAGAAATTCTGGTAAGTCATTTAACCATTTTTCCCTCCTCCTCGCCCTCAGTTCTGTGTGTCAGTTGATCCTGGTTGTTTTCACGTATCGCTGTACATCCTCTTGCAGTCTAAGGAAGGGGACGGAGTGTCCGGACCAGTGCTCCCCACCTGAGAATACGCGTCCTCTGGGGTGCGCGGAAGTCCAGGCGGCGTCATGCGTTTCTCTTTCTGCCTGCGGTTGCAGAACCAGACCCGAACCACCTCCTTCTCCAGCTGCAGCGTGTCTGCGAGGGAGTTGATCTCCTGCGCGGACGGCTTTGGACACTTGAGGAAATGGCTCTCCAGCGCGCCTTTTACGCTCACCTCGATGGACGTGCGCTTCTTCCTCTTCCTCCCCTGCGTGGCGATCTTGTCGATGCTGGTGGGGCTCCCTGTGGTGGAATCGGCTTCCTCGAGCCATTTGTTGAGCAGGGGCTTCAGTTTACACATGTTCTTGAAGCTCAGCTGGAGAGCCTCGAACCTGCAGATGGTGGTCTGGGAGAACACGTTGCCGTACAGGGTCCCCAACGCTAAGCCCACGTCTGCCTGAGTGAAGCCTAGTTTGATCCGTCGTTGCTTGAACTGTTTTGCAAAATGCTCCAAATCGTCCGACGTCGGCGTGTCCTCGTCGGACTGTGGGTCGTGGCCCACTGCGTGGTGCTGGTGCGTGTGATGGTGGTGATGATGGCGATGGTGGTGATCCAGCTCAGGGGAGTCTCCGCGCAGCAGCCCGGAGTGAACAAGGCTTTGTCCAGAGTGGGAGCTCAGCATCCCGTTGACTGTAAACCCTGACTGCTGGGAATAAACCAGAGATTGCTGCTGCTGCTGCTGCTGCGTCTCGCTGATGTGCGCAGCGGAGCTGCCTCCCCAGGTTCCAGCGTGCGTCTGATGGACTCCCAGATGCGGGGACCTGTGGTGTAGAGCGGAGCCAGAATGCAGGTCATCCCTGTTCCGCTTTACCTCCTGCGGCTGGGAGCTGGGGGTCCAAGGAGAGGCATTCTCTACTGCTGCAGCTGCCGCGGCTGCAGCCGCAGCAGCGGCCGCTGCATGAGGCAGCGATGTCACCCACTGGTGGGCATGGCTCAGCATGTGCCCGCCGTTGCTCGCCACCATGGCTCCATGCATAAAGTCTGCACTCTGCACCATCTTGTCCGATGGGTCCCTCCTGTATGCGCCGGAGGTGTTGCTCGGTTGCATACCAGCAAGTCGCCGGTCAGAGTGCAGGATAGGACCGGATAAAATCCTGCTGCTGGCCAAATAGGGACTGGAAGTGGCTGCTGCCATTCCCCAAGGCATAAAGCTAAAACTACGTTTGATCTTCGGGGTTCGGTCAAAGTCTTACTTTAATCTACTCCATAAAAAATCTTAATTGAAAGGTAAAAACATTGACCTAATTACAAACTATCAAACAGTCCAGATATATCAACAATAAAATCTTATTTCCTGTCTTTATAAAGTTGATTTGTCTGTACTCCTGAGAGTTTGAGAACTTTCTTAAATCCCACCATCCACGCCGTGCGTAATCCACGCTGCAGATTATTAAAAGAAAAAACAGCCTCTTTGATCCGTGCCAATCGGACGGACTTTTATCATGGAATTAAGGAAACGAGAAGAAAAACAATCAAGATCTGTTTTTTTCCTTCTTGGCATTAATGCGACCCGTTGCGTCTGGTCCGAGGAGCCGAGACGGATTGTGAGTTTACGCAGCGCCAAGGCTGTATTTGCTCCAACCATCTCCGCCCAATTACACCCCCCCCCCTCCCCCCAACCCAAACTGATTGACTCTGGGCTCTGAAAGAGAAGTTTGTATGTTTATACCGATGGACAGTTGTTTTTTCGATTTAAAAAATAGATAGGTAAATTGTTAAAACGCATTTAAAACAATACTAGACACAAAAACGGGTTAAGTGATAAAATATAACAAAACATAAGTTTTTCATATACTTTCTTTTCTACTTGTTTTTTTCTTTATTTTGAACAGATATGTATGTAATTTTGTTTAGATGTTTTCATGCCTCTTAAATGGAATCCCATTTTGCACGTTTAAACCACCAAAGAGCTGAAATATTTCTTTGAATTCCCCCTTTTTTCCCCAAGCCACGCAGCAGCTTCACTGCCTGTGTATAGATGCAAACCTTTACGGGTTGCCCTGCTCTTTACAGGCCTTTAGAGAGGAAAGGGAAGGTGTGTACTAGGACACACAGATGGTGACTAGAGGAGACAGTCAAGTGCTGGTCAGTCAACTTTTACCTCATTTGTATATTTCTTTTTATTTATCTTGGACTCTGTCAAAAGAGCTAGATAGATAGATAGATAGATAGATAGATAGATAGATAGATAGATAGATAGATAGATAGATAGATAGATAGATAGATAGATAGATAGATAGATAGATAGATAGATAGATAGATAGATAGATAGATAGATAGATAGATAGATAGATAGATAGATAGATAGATAGATAGATAGATAGGTAGATAGATCACCCAATATGCTGGTAATAGAATGCAAAACCTATTTGAAGTTAGCTATGACTTTTTCATATACAATATTGATTTGAATTTGATGGATGTGTGACACTGTAAAGGTATAGTGGAGGATATTTACGAATTTTTTAAAAGACTTGCCCTCTCCCCTTGCACATACACAACCCTATACCCGCTCCCGAGATGTAACGCTGTTAAGCGCGTGCAGGAGCGTGCATGAGCCAATTTCTCCTCGTGCACGCTCTGTTTAAAAATAGCTGTTTGCATCCCTCATACAAGCTTACTTTCCAAAAGAAGATTTTTAATTTTTCCACTATATCAGACTCACCACTGGTGAGTGAAAATGGGGAAGAATGCGTAGGACGTCCTTACGTACACATATCACAGAATGATTGACAATAAGGAGGACCAATTATTTTGATGATCCACCCGGAAAAAGCACAAAGCGCTGGAACATGAAAATATAAAGTAGTTATATTCTTTCCCCAAAATAAAATCAATATATACGTATAGTTAAGGCCTTTATTAAATAATTTCTAGATTTGTTTCCTCTTTTAATAAACTATAGACACATTTAAAAAATGTAAAGTTATTTATCTATTGTATTTTGGCAATCATCTCCCTCCAGAGTCACTGAGACTATAAAAGTATTTTAAAACAAGCTGAACCTACACAATTTTTGTTAAATTAAAATAGCAGAAATATGCAACAGCAGTTTACCTGGAAAAACGTGACACTGACCATGTGCTGTATTAAAAGCTGCTTTAAAAAACTGCTCATTGCCAAACCATATTCTGTAAAACAGCCCAATATGCATCCAAATGGTACAAACGGCACATGTTCCCACCATAAAGTGGGGAAAACCGGGCAAATCAGGGAAGGCAGTAATGTTTTTCATGTGTTGTGCTGCCTGGTCATAGCTCTGGCTCCTCCATTTGTTATTCATGAAGGAAGCTTGGTGAAGAGGCCTTATGTTGCACATTTTTTCTTGCCGCCCCCACCCAACCATTCGCTGCCATCCCTCTGCATAGCATGAATGTTGCAATTAATCCAACATAATGAGCATGACAACATCAGCTAATTGACATGATTGTTTCTTTAAGATCAACCTCAGATCTGTAGCAGAGATTCCCTCTGTCATCCTTCCAACCCCTCCTTCCTCCTTCACCCTTTGCTCAGGCTTCAATATGCAGATCAGCCATTTCTGTCCCCGGGGCTATTTCCTTTGGTGTACTTTCGAAATATGTAGATTCTTTTGTGAAAAAAAAAATTGTGAAAAAAAGTAAAGGTTCATCTGGCAACCAGAAGGTTTCTTTTTTGTTTTTTTCAATTCCGAGAAACAGATGATATATACGTATATATATACCGGTATATACATATATATATGTCTGGAAATGCCGGCTCCAGCAGTTATTTTACCTATTGCTTGGGCAGTGATGACTGTGTGGCCAACCAACATAGAAGAGATCTGCAAAACCGAAGATGGATCTTTTGCCCTTAATAATCCTGTATTTACTGTATGTTGAATTATTTATTAAGACAATAGGTTGCATTCACATTTTAGAAATCTTTTTTTTTCTTCTTTTTTCCCCATATGGATTGGCCCAGAAAACACAGAGATGTTACTCATAAACCTGGAAAAATCATGCCTTATGATAGTTACTGTGTGCAAGCTGTGCAGTAAACAAACGTGATGGCAATTATGCATAACATTACACCATCCATACGGCTATAGTGACTTGCAATTCCACATATCAATATAGAAATGGTGTTAGCATGATTTTGTTAAAAGTTGTCATGCATTATCATACCACGGTGAAGTTGGTTAGAAGCCAGACACCCAAGCCCCATGAAACCAGCGGGACCCAGCCCATCGCTAATCCAATCGAGGGACTCTGATCCCGGCCAGCGCTCCTTAGAGATGTTGGCCAAAATCAGATTCCCTCAACTGGACCAACCACGAGCCAGACCCCGCCGACCATGCAGAGCCCGAACAACCAACTTCCAAACAGCCCCACTGCAGTCATAACAATCAAAAAAACTCTTGGTATATTTGTGTATTACACAAAATAGTGATTTTGCAATATGCATGTTTAAGATATCCTAACATAATTTTTTTTAAATGTATAGTTAATTGTAAAAATACACTTACATTTGTGCAGTTCTTTTCCACAGCCGGATGGCATTTTTCCTTTCACTGAATGTGTTTTGGGAAGCCACTTTATTCCAAGTCAGCTCCTGACCACCCTCGGTCTGAAGAGATAATACACAGGGTTGAAGGGCACTTCCTCCTAGCTCTTAAAATTATTGGGATACACTACCCTTACACATGAACGCACAAAAGTGAGTGCTAGGGCCCAAAATGAGTGCAAGTGAGAGAAATGGGACTGAGGCTTAGAGTTTTCAGTAAAGCTTTGTGAAACTGACCCCAGTTAAGGACAAAACTAATTCAGTGAGAGAAATTTGTTTTTTGAAACACAGCAGTATTGCAATATTTAAAAAAATTCTAACATTTGTTTTGCAAAGACTTTGGAAATCTTCAAATACATTGAAATTAGTGATGAACAGTCATTCCCTTAGTTGTTTGCATGAAGTAGATACTAAGAGACTGACACTAAAAACTGTAGCCATCTGCTTCAGGGTCTTAAATGTAGCCTTTACAGAGCAGACTGCCTGCAGCAAACATTCCAGAGAGAAACAGATCTTAAGTATCTTTGAGCACTATTTATTTTCCACCTCTTCAGTGTTGTCCTGTGCTTCTGATCATGAGTGTGTTTGACCTTCAGTTCTAGCCGAGCCACAGAGATCTCTCACAGCATGAGGTCCCCATGCCCACAAACCCCTGCTGCGTGGGTTTGAATCAGGAGCCGAGGGAGGAGAGAGAGACCAAGACAGGCACACGGCAGTGGTGCACAATGCAGAAAAAACGAAAAGCAAAGGAGATGGCTGAGCAATGATCAACGTACATTCATCTCCAAGGTCTTCGCTTTCAAAAACTGGGGAAATATGAAACTAACATGCCCAATGAAACTCAACTTTAGAGACATGTTTTTTAAAGTTAAGCCATTTTACTTATTGAGCAGAGATGCTGTGTTTCAGGCAGGTTCAAGTGTTATTCCTAAGAGGAAAAGATCCTTCTTTAGATTTTTTCTGTTACAACCTCAAATTTCAAAGGTTTTTTTTTATAAGGCTTTATGTACAGACAAACACACAATGTGTAAATGTGAAATAGATGGAGATAAATGGATGGTTTGTCCCCTTCCATCCATCCATTTGCTGTCACGCTTGATCACAGCTAGGGTCACTGTCATGTTGGGGTCTAATCTTCTAACCCACATGCAGAAACACTCTCAGGAGACAAGAAAAAAGTTAAAAGGTTTATTGACAAGGTTTTCAGAGAAATGTGAACGGGGTCTTGGTTCGTCAGACTGGTCACGGGAGGGAAGGAACTAGAGGAGGACAGATCGGGTAGAGTGGATCCAGGAAACTTGCTGTTTAACGGCGGTTCGAGTTAATACCTGCTCAGGGGGTATTCTGACCGGCAGGGGGGGAAACTTGAGGGTCCAGAGGCTGATCGGCAGGCTGAGGGCAGAGGCAGAGACGGAGGCAGAGGCGGAGAGCAGACAGGCAGGTTCCAGGCAGCGATAGTTTTCTCCAGGATTTTACTGATTTCCAGATAAGTCAGGATCTGAGAGGCAGAAGAACACAGGGTCAGGCAAGTTCACAAAAAATCAGAAAAACAGATCAGAGTTAGCTGGCTCAGGTTTGCTGGTACCATTACTGGCAAAAACCCTGGCAGGGAAGTGTCAGCCTCCTCCTCCTTAAAGGAAAATTCCGTTTTTTAACACTTTTAGCCCATTTTCTGTAGTGTCCAGGATGAAATCGAATGATCGACACAAAAATTTTGACGATTGGTCCTGTCTCTGCTATTTGGCTCATGCAGAATCCCCCCCTGGCTGCTTCAGAATGGCTTCCATAGTGCATGTCCGATAATGTCCTTAAAATAACCTTAAACGTTCTTTTTTTTAAATATGCTACTCACCGGGTCGTCAGCGCTGTTCAATAACGTTCCAAAAAAAGTTTCGTGAAGAAAAACCGTTCCTGTAGTGTTTTATTTAGCATTTTGTAAATCCCATTGAGTTCTGTCGGAATAGTCAATATCCCTCCGCCACCGGAAACGGAAATGGGGCCTGTTTACGCTTAGTTGTAGTCTTTTC